GTAACTTCAAACAGTTAGTTCGCTAAGTAGTACACTTAGCGAATTAACTGTTTGAAGTTACAAATTAACTAAATAAAGAACCCCGATAGTGAGAGGCAAGGGGACTCACGTAAATAAAGCACCCCGATAGTGAGAGGCAAGGGGACTCACGTAAATAAAGCACCCCAAAGGGAACAAAAAACTACCACGTCCACGCCGTTGTTCCTGGGTAGTGCTAAGAGTAGTAATTTCTATTAATTTCGGCTAAAAATTTCGTCCGCCATCTTGGTCCGCCATCTTGGATCCGCCATTTTGAATTTTGCAAATCTGACTTCAGATTCGTGATCAGCAACCCCAAAAACCCTCGTAAACTTAATTTGGTGCAAATCGGTTGACTAAAATTTTTGTCCGCCATCTTCGTCCGCCATCTTGAAAATTTTAAAACCGCCAAAGTTATATCTGAACGTAAAATTTTCCGCTTTTTCATTTTCCGGTGTCAAAAAGGGGGGTTTCCATTTAAAAAAAACCACTTCCGGTTGAAGTAACTCACTTTCGGTCAAAATCAAAAGTTGAAAGGTACGCCATTTTGGTTCCCCCTCGAAACCCTACAACTTTTATATGAAACTTTTTTCGATTCCTGGCCACACAAACGAGTTATTGGAGGTGATAGATTCAGATGACTCACCCTGTATATGTTGGTAAAAATTAAGTAATTAAATGTTGGTATATAATATCGGTAATAAATTACCGATCGTTGGTATTATGTAAATATGCTGGTAAAAATTATGTAAATATATGTTGGTAAAAAATTAAATGTTGGTGTATAATATCGGTAATTACCGATCGTTGGTACTATCGGTATTGCGTAATTATATGTTGGTAAAAATATATGTTGGTAAAAAATTATGTAATTAAATATTATATAATATCGATAAAAATTACCGACCGTCGGTAACATCGGTATGCCCCCCCAATTACCGACCGCTGATAACCCCCTCCGCGGTGACGTCATATCTCCCGCGGTGACGCATTCCCCCCCTCTGACGTCATACCCCCCCGCGGTACCCTCCGCCCCTCACCCCCCTCAGAGGACCTGGGTTAGAACCCGCCTAGCATACCTACTTCAATGATTCTTAGTATGATATTTCAATAAAGGTAGTTCTCGTCTTAATTGCTCAAAGTTCTGGATATCGCGGGTGTCAAACTCGATCATGGCTTTTCCCTTTAGTTTAGTACATAATATGGCCTCTAATAATGCGGGTTCATGTGCGGGATCTATATTCCCTTATAGAAATATCATACTAAGAATCATTGATAATTGCTTATTTTCAGTATTAAAAATACTGGATAATAGATAATTATCAATGATTTTTAGTATGATATTTCTATAAGGGTTATTTATGGCATAAGAGCTTGCATTTAAAAATTCTTGTAATCTATTCTGTGAGGAGCCGTCGAATTCCGGTATTAGGTTTCTAGTTTCCTTAAGCTGTAAATAGTTGTTCGCACGCGAGTGTCGGTTTCGCATGTTGTTTGCTGTCCGTCCGTATCTAATGTCCATATTTACTGGTTTCGCGTTAAGGTGCCTATCCGTATTAAGAGCATTTATTTGCTCGGTCATGTGACAGATCACCTTATAGAAATATTATACTAAGAATCATTGATAATTACTTATTATCCAATATTTTTAATACTGAAAATAAGTAATTATTAATGATTCTTAGTATGATATTTCTATAAGGGTCTGATGCCGTATTTGGTTAATTATTTCGAGTAGTAACTCGTCGCGGCTGGGTCCGAGTAGTCCATCTAACTCGGCGGGGGGCGCTATGCCCTTATAGAAATATCATACTAAGAAATACTGAAAAATTATTAGTGATTAAATATTACCAGTAATTCAGTAATTTTTTGGCCAGTACTTAATTTCTAGTAAATACTGATAATAAAATCACTGTTAAATATTGATAGTAATCAAATACTGAGAATAATTATGCGAAGGTGAAAAATGAGAAAATCATAATGTTTACAAAAATATATTTATATTCCTAATTTTCTCATGTCTTATAAACTACTAGATATCAAAGGTTGTCAAAACACATTCCAAACTTTCATGAATCCTCCTGCGATAATTTCGATCCCAAGCGGTATACTACTGGTCACCCCATCCATGTCCTGATCGCATTAAACTGTTGCTTAACCTGATGATCGAGTGCGCACGCGGTGACTCTGATGACTCCAACGATGTTCTTACAATTCATGCTTATAATGTATCCTTATATTGTTCACAATATATTATAACATACCTAGCAAATACCAAATAATAATTATATAATTTTTACTTGTTGTTTATTGGATAATTTGTTGATAGATATTGAAACAATGCAACATTCGATATGCGATGAATATTGATGTAATGTAGTGAACCAGTGATAATTACTTTTACATTTTTAACAAAATGTTATAATGATTAATCCAACAAAAAAAATAAAAAATCCAAGAAAATCCAAATTAAACAAATCGAATTACTAAATTTTGAGAGGAACTTTTAAAAAATGTTATTTAAAAAATATTATTTAAAAATTATTTAAAATATTATTTAAATTAATAGTGTTGTTTCATCAAATGACATGATTTCGTTGGACGAAATAGAAGTTTTATTTTCATCATTTTAAAAAATGATATTTCGTTTAAAAATATAATATTTTAATGAAATAAAAAAAACCACAAAATTAAACAGTACGAATATTAAATCTAAAGAAAGTATTTTCTCCGAAAAAACGGTATAAGAAGTATAAATATATGCAATAAGACAAATTAATGATTGCCACTAACGAGTGCTATTCTAAGTACTATTCTATAAGTATTATTAATGTAAAACATTATGAATTTGAAATACAAGTAACAAAAATAACTAGTAAATAAATAAAATATATTATATTCGTAATATTTTTTAAAATATTACTGCAATATTGCTAAAGTAATATTGCAAATTAATGTCACTGCAAAGTCTCTGCAACATTGCACTGCAATATGCAATCTTGCAACGTTGTAGCAATGTTGCTGCAAGTTTCTGTGCTGTATGGGCATTGCTGAGATTCGAGCCTGAGACCTCTCCCAGGTAGCAGACTTACGTCAAAATAACATCCAAATCTAAGTAAGTTCAGGATCAAAAATAACCAAGGAATGATCAAAAATATCGTGAAAATATCGTCAAAATTATAGTTTAATGTTGCAGACCGATGACGACATTTTAGACAACTTAATGACGTTTTATGACATCTCTAAACGTCAATAATACATTTTTAAGACGTTATACAGAAATGTCATTAAGATGTCACAAAAAAGACGTTTTAAAGACGTCGTTATTTAGTCACTTGATGTCATTCGACCAGTTATGACCAGTTTTTTACATCAT